TAAAAATGTTTAAAACATGAATCATAATTAGCAATTCTTAGACACATGTACAATTAGGAGATTAATTGATAAGTAATACATCTTATAGAGACAGCCAAATGGTGTTGTGCAATGAGCCCTGTCAGTGAGTAATATGGTTAAATGGGTCATTTAAAAAAAACAAAACAGGAATTAAACCTTGGTGCACATCACACCCAATCAATGACGCAGAAGCAACAGAATAACCAGATGAAAAGAGGGCCACAGCGGGTCAAGACACTAAAAGACACACTTCCTTTCGTCAGATAATATTTGCACAAAAAGAAAAAGAAAAAAATGATGGAGCTTGATGCTGGTTCAGGCAGAAATCATGTGATGAGTGACATCCAGTCTCAGTCATACAACTGTGCAGGCTTAAAGGACACATGTCATGCTTTTCCGGTTATTACCCGTCCCCTTGTGTGTTATGAAGGTTTTTCTGCATGTAAACGGTGTGCAGAGTCAAAACCCTCAAAGTGCATCCTGTAGCGAGTAAAACTCTAAAACAGAAAATACCTCACCAAAACGCCTCGTTGGTGAAACATCATCATGACGTCATCCTCCATTTGATTCTTCCGGGTACGTGCTTACGAAAGCACGTACCCGGAACTAAATGGGCCAATCCGTGGAGCCGTTACGTTACGTCCGCGGAGCCGTTACGTTAAGCCCCCGCTGATTGGTCCAAATTGACCAATCCACACACACACACTCAGTGCAGGCAGCCCTGCTGATTTCTGCTCCGTGCNAAGCTCAGGCACTCACCTGGATTCGGTTCACAACCGAAGGTGTGAAGCGCTGTGGATGATGATCAGCACCTCCAAAAGTCTGAGGACCATGGTTCGCTCAGAGGCCATGGTCACAGCAGGAAAACGCGATGGACTGTCCCACTCCAAGTAGGGAATGAGTCCTTACCCAAGTGAAGGAGTTCAAGTATCTCTGGGTCTTGTTCTTGAGTGAGAGGAACAATGGAGCGTGAGATGGGTCGAGAATCGGAGCAGCAGCGGGAGCGGTATACTGCAGTCGCTTTACCGCACCGTTGTGAGAAAAAGGGAGCTGAGCCAGAAGGCAAAAGCTCTCTCTGTCTACCGCGCCATTTTTGTTCCTACCCTCACCTATGGTCATGAAGGGATGGTCATGAACCAAAAGAACGAGATCGCCGGTTACAAGCCGGGAGATGGGTTTTCTCCGCAGGGTGGCTGGTGTCTCCCTTAGGGATAAGGTGAGAAGTTCGGTCATCCGGGAGGGACTCGGAGTTGAACCGCTCCTCCTTCGCGTCGAAAGGAGCCAGTTGAGGTGGTTCGGACACCTAGTTAGGATGCCACCTGGGTCCCTTCCTAGGGAGGTTTTCCAGGCACGTCCAGCTGGGAAGAGACCAAGGGGTAGACCTAGGACCAGGTGGAGGGATTATATCTCTTCGCTGGCCTGGGAGCGCCTTGGGATCCACCAGTGAGAGCTGGTTGATGTGGCCAGGGAAAAGAAAGTTTGGGGCTCTCTGCTGGAACTGCTACCTCCTCGACCCGACCACGGATAAGCGGGAGAAGATGGATGGATGGATGGAAAGGGGAAACCCAAAAAGCACAAATAAATAGGCCTGAGTGATATTTTATGGTGTAGAAAGAATAACTTTTCAGTTATAGTATTGCGACTGTTACCTTAGACAGGTGGATTCAAGATCCACATTTCAGAGATGTTATAATCACAAGCACAATAGCTACAGCGCAGTTTTTCAAATGAAATGTAAAAATAAATAGAAATAGTGTAGAAGAAATGCAAACCATTAAAAGTGAATAGTGCAAAGTAAAATAAAAATAAAACATTTGAAATAGAACAAGACTAAATCAAAACAGAAAATGAAATACCATTGTGTCAGAAGCTGTAGAATCCAGGGTCTGGTAAACATCCAGCTGGATTTTTTAAGAGATATACAAATCTGAGAATCCAACTAGAGTGGGTGTCCTACCTGCTGTGGTCCGGAGCGGGGGATCCGTGCTCTGGGATGGACAGAGGGGTCCGGGCTCTCACCAGGTTGTGACTGGGGTCATGAGCGAAGCTGCAGGGCTCGCACAGAGTGCACGAGGTACACACACTGAGCACAGAGGACAAGATAAAGGAGGGTGGAGAGAAAGAAAAGGGAAGGAGAGAAGGGAGGTTCTGGGACTACTGTAACAAGCTGACGTCTGTTGTGTATTTCAACAGGAGAAAGAGAAAGTATTCAGGCAAAACAGAAACTGATTCACTTTCTAAGTTTCAGATATCAAGGAAAGGAAACACATTAGTCGTGTGTCACCACACCTCTTCATGTCTATATGAGGCATTATTATCTCTACCTTCTTAGAATAAACCTCACCAAGACTTCGAACCCTGGGACAGCATGTCAACTAAAACTAGAAGTCATATATTGGTCATTATTATCTGCAGTACCAACATTTAAAAAATACCAAGAAATTAATCATCTCCTTTGTTCATTATGCAATATAATGAAGAAAAGTCAAAAGCAAGAGGTTAAAGGAACAGTTCATAATTTCAGACAATTGCTTTTATTCTGAGCGTGAGATGAGAAGATAGGTATATATTTACTCCTAATATCAACTAGTTACCTGTATAAAAGACACCTGTCCACAGAATCAACCAATCAGATTCCAACCTCTCCACCATGGACAAGACTAAAGAGCTGTCTAGAAAAAATCCCACTCCCGATGGAGATTTTTTAACTTCGTTCAGCCCCCGATGAAAATGAGGAGAAAAAAAACAAAAAAGACGTCACATATATAAATCGTGTAAAATGCAATTATACGGAATGGAAATGGAAAACACACGACAAAAACCCCAGACACCTGTGCAAAAGTCACAAAATGATTTTCTTGTACACACGTTAGATTAAGATAAATTGGACGAAATAAACCCCCACCTACCCAGTCGAGGAGATCCCCCTAGGCCCCCGCACGAGGGGGCCCTTCTACTAAAATAATTTTACAACTTCACTTTACGACCACGTGAGACCACATTAAGTATGTAAGAACACTTAAACCACCTATGTCGAAAGTGTCGAGTATACTTTCCCTCGACATATGAAAATTTATAAGGTTAGTGAGAAATCTTATACTAGTGTTGGTTATGTTTAGTACAATTTGACCCAAATAAGAATAGATACAATGGATCAATCCGTAAGAAAGAAAGATAATTACGTATAAAATGATTAGTGGAGGAAAATTTTGACCAAAAAACCAAAAAAGTGACAGGATATCATGTGTAACCTTACTAAAGAATTAAATAGATATAATTTATCTATTTCCACACGGAGGGTCGAGAGAGCGAGCGGAGAGAGAGGAAATTAGAGGAGGAGGGAGGGAGGGATCGAGCGAGAGAGAGAGGGAGACAGAGCGAGCGAGTGTCTCCCGGACAACCACGGAGGTGGCACCCGCTACTGCCAAACCGCAATTTTTTTATTATGTGTATAAACATTTCACCCCCTGTTGTTTGGCCCCTAAAGCCTTTTCTCGCCCCCTGTACAGGGGGGGAACATGGGTCACCTTTAAATGGCGGTACGCACAACATACAGGTTTCACGTTATTTATAAATATACCGTTCAATGTTGTGTGTCTCATTTAAGACGGGGAGTACCCACGACACCATCCGACCGTGCTGGATCCGACAAGGTTACCCGACTACACCAAATACATTCTAAAGACCGGTCTTTCCTTTAGTCGTTCCCTCCCACGGGGTGTAACGAAAAAGGGCTGACGGTTGAGACCCTGGGCGTTTTAGGTTCGTTCTTGCACTAACCAGCTATCAAGTAACCACCCCCACCGCCCTCCATCCCCAGCGGAATCTACTATATCTCAATATAATTCTCTATCTCAAGCGATACTAATCTAAAGCAAATACGGGTATCCCAATCTAAGAAAATTTAAGTGTAAAGGAAAAAACAAAACACATAAAATATGTAGCCTGGGAACGGGAACCGGCTCGGATAAAAATCTTGATACGGGCCCCGCTAGTTCCAACGGGGGACGCCCGGCTGATTCACGGGCGGCCGTGGCGACACAACCAGGGATGGACGCACATCACACAATGGGTTATCAAAAGAACCACTGACACACGAAGGGTCGACCGACGGAACTTTAGGTAATTGTTCAAGGAGGGCACATCAAAGAACTCGGACTAGTGGAGTAGAAAGAGGACTAGAGTTTTGGGGTGCGCCTCGGTCTAAACAACACCTCGGGGTCTGGTCTCCCGCTGACTACGGAGGTAAAGTAAAAAGAAGGATAATTGCTTAATTACCGCTGGTTGTCACGAGAGGGAAGGAGTGGCTCGACGAAAGAACTACCCAGAACATCGGTCAGTATCGGAACACGTCCAGGATGTCAGAACAGGGACTCGCNACCTTGTTTAGCGATACACAGCCAAACACAGCCAAACTCAACCTGAACACACACAAAGTCACAGCCGAAATAAAAACAATAAGTGTGGCTTGATATTGAGTAAGCTCAATATCAAGCCACACTTATTGTTTTTATTTCGGCTGTGACTTTGTGTGTGTTCAGGTTGAGTTTGGCTGTGTTTGGCTGTGTATCGCTAAACAAGGTGAATACTGCTGAATACACATACTTTACAGAGATGCTGTATGCGAAACCAATGTGAGTTTGGAAAATTGCACAGTATTTTTCTATTTTAGTATACCTCAACAATGGAATTATGATCAGTGGAAATGGCCATGACATGTGTCCTTTAATATAATTGACAGCGTTTATACCAACACTGCTTACTTCAGCCTCTAAAAAAACAAACCTCTTCTTACTGCACTTGTTGAAACTTTGTTGACTTTGCCAAGATCATGCTAAGCTCATGTGTAGATTCTCTTCCCTTCTTTAGGATCAGTGCTTTTTGCAGGGTTTGTTTAAAATAAAAAGTGTATCTTAATCAATTAAGGCTAGCCAGAAGAAGAATATAATAATACAAATCACATGATGGAGCCTGCCTACCTTATTAGAAGCCATGTCACTGACGGAGCGGTAGGTCTGGATGGTCTCCAGCTGGTCCAGACACCAGTCCAACTCCTCCATCGTCTCCGTGGCCAGCTTCTGGTACGCCTCATCTGTCATCAAGCAACCACCACACAGAGGCACACAGTCAGAACAGACAGTGCACATGGAGCCAGAGCACTGCCCAGCCACTCCCAGGCAGCATCCACCCACAGGTCCAACTCGGGGCGCCTGCTGCTGCAGCTGCTGCTGAGGAGGGGGAGCGGTGAGAGGGGGCAACCGGCTGCAGAGCTTCTTCATCATGAGGAGGGTTTAGCTGTGGGGAAGTTACTGTGTCGGACTCACAGCTGTCAGCAGAGTGCAGTAGGAAAGTTGCAGACACACAAACAAGCACACACACAAAAAAACTAAACGCACTCTCACATTCTGAGGCCCTCAAGTCATTTACATGAAGTCAAAGTCCTAGCAGGAAACCAAATACCCCCTCACCCTCACCACACAGGCGCACTTTACACCACCTCACAGGAAACAGACACCTGTAAAATACAGATAAGGCCGAAGCATACTTTGTGTAATTTTTGGGAATTCATTTTCAACTCTCAAAATGACATAAAAAAATACGGTACGAAGATAATCGACGGATAATTTGTGTGATCACAACCCCATCTTGACTATGGACAGTCAACATATATTGTTTCTTTTAAAATGAGCTGAGGCACCAACTTGCTTCTGGTGGGACCCCGCATTGAGTTTTAATGAGTCCATGCGTAGTCGATAACATTTGTCATTTTGGTTTGGTGAATAAAGGAAAGGTGTGGTTTTGTAGTGCTAGTACTTACACAGTCACAGGACCAACCACTGAATATATGTAGCCCGGATACAAAATAACAGGAACTGTCTTAGGTATCAATTTTACCTGAACTGAACTGAATATTTCCGTAACTTTAAGCAGCCACAGTGTGTTTGCTATTGTGTGGTTATGCATTGTGTTGTTTTTTTCTTTGTAAAGCATTTGTTTGTTCTTTTTAATTTAAGTCATACAGTATAGCAATAATTAAAGTTAAAATAGTGGGTAAATTACTGGTTATCATATTTCATTATCACAATCATTTTCTTTTTTTGAATAATTGATTCGTAAATACAATGTCAGAAAATAGTAAATAAAAAGGAAATGTCTTCAAATGTTGTGTTAGATTGAAAAATGTAATATATTCTGGTAATTATCATATAACACAAAAAGGAATAACAAATAAAATCTTAACACTGCATTTTTTAAGGGAAGTTTATTCTAACCGCTTTTTTAAATAGTTGCAGAATGATTAGTCATTAAATCCTAATTTGTTCACCTTCATGTTCATATTAATTTAAATAATCTATAACATTTTGTCTTAAATAATACAGCATTAAAGGTGGGGTAGGTAATTTTGGAGAAACCAGCTCGAGATCGCTAGAATTTGAAATTACACAACCGGAAAAAATCTGCCACTTCCTTACAGAGCCCCTCCTCCAACACACACGAACGCGCACATGACCAATGAGGGTACGAGATAAGTGTGTGCACAGATGGAAGGCTGACAGGCAGGTAGGCCATCCAGTTATTTTAGCCGGGCTGGCTAAAATAATTGGGCTACGGCATTGGGCTACGGCTTCCACAGATGAATTTTTCAATGGATTTTTTGTCAAAGCACTTAAGATATTCATTGCTATCGGGATGTTAAGAGCATTCCATGGAATATAACAAAAAGTGTATCTCGAGCCGGTTTCATAAACGTATCTACCCCACCTTTAACGGTTGCTATGAACAATCACATTGGTGACTGCACATAATGAGATTCACAACCCAGATATGAAGCTTTTCCTCCTCATCTCTCTATACCACCAAATGCCTTGATTGGTGGAAATACAAGATATTCCACCCTATTGCCTTTCTGAAACTGATGAGTAAACTAGGAGTGCAGCTGCTGTCCACAACAACAGAACTGAAATTATGTTTCGAAGTGTCTTCAATCACCAAGGGTTTCCTTTATCCTCAGATCAACAGTTCCTGCAATTTCCACAGACAAGAGTCAGTACCAGAAGTAATCATTTCATCTGGTGCTGCTTCCTGAATCAGGGAAGTCCTCTTCAACCACCTCAGGAGAGGAACAGCATCCTGCCATAAATCTTCCCTCAAAAGCTATTCTCTCTCCTCTGTTGGTAGGATTTTCCATCACCACTGCCCTTCTCACTCAGAGGCCTGTGTAAAGGCTTTACAGCCACTCAAATAGGTTTTATTTTGTGTTTATGAACAATGGCCTGCAATAATCTAACATACATATTTGAGCTCCTTGATCAAAATCATTCACATGCAGAACGATAGAAAAAGTGTCCAGAAATGACAAAAACGTACGGTGGCCGAAAGGGGCAAATGTGCCACAATGGCCAAAAACAATTACATTAGAAGAAATGGCCTGCAGTTTAAAAAACGATGTTAATATAAGAATTCAAATTTGCCAAAACTCATCGTATAAATAAACAACTTTACCAACTTGAAAGCAAGTGTGCAGTATTTAGAAGACATTCACCAACTGCACACAGCTGGGATTGCAGCACTTTTTGACGTTTAGGGCGTATAAAGTTAGTCAACAATCAACTCACCTAAAATGTACGTTTAATTGGCTTATTTTAACAGTGTGATTGTACGAGTCCTTTTAAAGGTGGGGTAGGTAATTTTGGAGAAAGCAGCTTGAGTGCGCGAGAATTTGAAAATACACAACCGGAAAAAATCACTTCCTTACAGAGCCCCTCCTCCAAGACACACGAACGCGCACATGACCAATGAGGGCATGAGATAAGTTTGTGCACAGATGGAAGACTGACAGGCAGGTAGGCCATCCAGTTACTTTAGCCGGGCCGGCTCAAATGATTGGTCGTACTTTTTACAGTACTACGGCTTCCACAGATGACATTTTTTTTATGGATTTGTTGTCAAAGCACTTAAGATATTCATTGCTATCGGGATGTTAAGAGCATTCCATGGAATATAACAAAAAGTGTATCTCGAGCCGGTTTCTCAAACTTACCTACCCTACCTTTAATATTAATGTAGATCTGCTGTAAGCTGGCTAGCTAATACACTAGTCAATTGAAATATACTGACAAAACACTCATAATTATGAAACACACTAACTCTGGTAACAGTGACAGTTGGCCAATTTAACATTTCCAGAACGTGAACAAGCGCTCTGGTCCCAGCTGTGTGCATCACTTTTTAGTGTCCCTGTTTCCTTTGTGTTTTGAGCTGCCTGCAGCGTTTTATTTGCTGGGTTCAGTTTTTTGCAGCGTTTTGATCATGCAGCGCCTTTGGTGAAGATGGGCGGTTGTAGCGCGTTTGTCCGTGTGGGCCACAGTAAAGAAATGTAACTTGATTACTAGCAATTTTGCAGAAATACAGATTGCAGAAAAGTCCAGCAAACTTAGAATGATCTCCCAAGCTATTTTCAGCCTTCTTGTGTTGTTTACTATTAATTCACTTTCCTCTGTTCTTTTAAATAATGAGATGCTTTGTGTTCAGTTAGTGCTTGTACTTCAGGATGTTAAAAAAGAAAGGCCTGCTTGAGCAAACATGATTTTAAAAGCAAAGAAAAAGAATGGCTGCAGCGTCAACGTTTTTAATCACCAATTAAACACTAATTACTGAAAGATAAACCTGTTGATAATTTAGACTAATAAATTAGACATACATAATTAATGTATATTTAATGAAATCTGCAGAAAATCACCTTGGCTCCTCAAACTGTGCTATGATAATGTGCTGTAATCCAGTTGCATCTGAATAATATTAACCCAGTACTCTCCTCCTTCTTTATTAACACACACACACACACACACACACACACACACACACACACACACACACACACACACACACACACTTTGAGTTCAGTTCATAGACAATATAAATGGACGACTGGCAGTGGTGGAAGAAATACTAAGTTACATTAGCCCAGTGAATAAATACTGTTACGGTAGTCCAGCATGTATAATGTTACTTAAGTACAGTAAAAGTACTAAAGTGTACAAAAACATAAATATACTGAAGTATCAAAAGTTCAAGTGCTCATTACACCACATTTTCCAAATGATAAATCACTGGATTCTAATTACTGACCAAATATTGTTTACATCATTTTAATGTTGCAGCTGGTTTTAACTTCTAATTACTTTTCAGACTGCCAGGTATCTCAATCCATAAAAGTATGTCATAATTTATATGTCGATTTTAATTTTTAATTAACACTAACAAGAAATTAAAGGTATCAAATGAACCTAGTGATATTTGAGTAGAAGTATAAACTAGTATCAAATGGAAATATTCAAGGAAAGTACAAGTACGTCAAATAAATACTTGGGTGCAGTACTTGAGTTAATATACTTAGTTACTTTCCACCACTGACAACTAGTAAAAGCTGACACTTTCAGTTCAACTTTGGCATTGTTTCATCATTGTGACTTTAGTGGTAGTGGATGGAAATGTACAGAGTATACATAATAAGAAAAGGAAGTATTTGCAATACCAAACCACTGTTCACCACACCAGATTCCTCATTATGTTTTTGTTTTTAAATCAGTGGATTCATAGCCTTAACAAAAAATAACAAAACACAATAAGATGTATTTTCCCACCACTCAAGTCTACGTGATTTAATTCATGATCCGTTGTTTTTAGGTGTTTTGCTTAAAAATAAGATGAATTTGACACTCATGAGGAAGAAAACAAACAGAAAACAAATTATGTTAAGGCTGCAGTGAAGAGAAAATAAATCCTTTGTGGGATGCTCATTATTTTATCCATGGATTAGGATTCAGCGTACTGAAATTAAATGTCTCTCTAGCCAGAGGATGACAATTCCGTTTCTTATCCTCTGAAGAAGTCTTGAAGTAGGTGATACCTTTGAATGTAGATAACTGTGACTTAGAAACAGGCAACTAAAGCTTTCCAAAGACATGTTTTCCCCTATTCTCTGTAGGGAGGAATACATCATTCCTACAGCTAAAGCTCCGGTACCTTAGTCTGTTCCTCTGGGAGCCTGTGCCCTGCACATGTTTGATCCTTTTTGATAGCTACCAATCATACGTGGTAGGTATCTACTGTACTTGGCACCAAGTG